AATAATATTATTAATATATTAGAACTTATAATATATTAATAAACCACAAGTGTTATCTCTCTCATTTAGTCTATCCACATGCATGATGCCATGCAACCCAAATGGACCATGCCGGGTCGGGTCAAGTACATACCAGAAATAGTTATGGACTTAGACACCTTATCTAACAGTTACATGTATCATAGTCTTGTCTAGTGATAAAGTAAGACTTATAAGGGATGCTTAGTTCAAATTAAGTTGAATAAGTGCTTAGTTATACCCTGTGTCACAATGATATTACATCTATAGGAAATCCGTATTAAGAGTTGACTATTCATATTATAGTCTAACCTAGTTATAAACTAAGATTTACAAGGGATGTTAAATTCGAAGTGAGTTGAATAAATAGGTAGTAATCATACAAGGGATGTGTACGATTTTGGAACGGAGAATAGCGCTCTGCTCTAGGACACTACTACGTATCAAAGTCCATATTATGTACTAGAGTTATTTGATAAGTTGGATATTGGGTAGACTTATTCTGGTGCGTGTGAAAGAGAGAGAAGGATTGGAATGGAGAGGAGAGATCAGTTTCCTTTCCATTATCACGAGCCCGGGTGTGGGTTCCATATAAGTCATTTGCGGTGTAAGATGACAACCACTGTCCATTAGAATGTCTAATGAAACACTAGCAGACTCATTACCTATAAGTGTTAATGAATAATACTATCCATGAATAAGGATTGCGTGTTCATTCGAGTACTCCATCCTCTTTAGGGTTGCCTTTAATGACTAACACCAGCCAAGGAATCCCCTAGTTGTGTAGTCAAAGAGTTGTTTTAAACGATTCATCAGGCAATGTGATTCCTCCAAATGATCGTTGATTACGACTCATGTGAATCGATTGGATAGGGTATGTATGGGAATCCCCTATGTATCTCACCAGGTTTCCCAAATCTGACCCACTCAATTTATATGCATCACATGTAGCGGTATTAAGATTGTTGAAGACGTGAATAGGATACTGAGTGATTAAAGAGAAGACATGCAATAGTGTTCTGGACCGTTAGGTATTTACTTTGTAACTTATGTTGTGTATTCATTATGACATCCATCGTGTTTTGTTATTTCGAAGCACATCAATTGTACTCAAAACGATTTAATATATTGGGATTTTCCGCAAACAAAAATAACATGATTTTGAAAGCGTAAATAAAAGATTTTTTTTTGGTTCAGGAAAATAGTAGATGTCACATTAATAAAAAGGGGAATACACTTAGCGGGGTTAAGGGTAGCAAACTAGATATATGTGTGTACCCTATCCAGATTGTGAGGTGGCCTAATAGGTTTGAATATACATATAGGATAAGAGCTTAATCCAAAAGAGACGTCGAGTGGTTCTTCTAGACAATCACTCGGGACATGATCCTTGCGGTGGGTGGACTGTAGTGATGTTGACAATGCTGTGGGCCGGTGCAAACATCACATGAGATTTGGGAGGTGTAATACGGTGGAATTGACACCATTTGTATTGATCCTTAATGACAACACGTGTACTAGTATATGTATCGTCGGAGTAGCAAAGGCAACGAATCAGGGGCAATGTTACGGGTGAGAGTCGTGTCACACTTAGTGCATTCGATCGAGCCAGTCATGTTAGTAGTGAATGAGATACTTACCTTGGGGTTACTGATGAATATATAAATCCATAAATATGAAGTATTATGATAATAATTACAAAGGTGAATAAGAGGAGAGCAATCATTAATGATGAAAATGAAGATTAATATTATCTTATAATATTATAGTGTAACTAAATGTAAAGACTCTAAAGAAGAATAATATTTGAGCATTATTGTGTTGGGCATATGATGTATCTAATACCCTGCTATGTGAGTGTTTGAATGCAATTTTATATGATGTTTCGTTTGATCCATTTGGGATATGTACGTTCCATAACATTGTACTTATGATTGACTTACTTAGCGTATGCTGACACTTGTTTCTTAGCTTGTTGTGTTTGCCTTGTATTGGTACAAGTAACATGATTTGATGGCTTGGCGATGATGAGACTTTGGGTAGTTTTATTTAGTATTACTTTAGTAATGATACTATTTTGGACATGCCATTGAGTTTTCATTTACTTTTGGCTTTGAAAACATGTTTGGTCTTGGTTTTGTGAACTTAAATCTTGAAGGAGGTCGTTTTTGATGTTTAAGTAACATTGGTGAAGTTTTCAAATAAACTTTTAATAAGACTTCTGTTGCATTATTATGTTAAAAAGTGTTTTAAATAAAAATTAAAATTCGGGTGAAAAATCATAGTGTTACACGGGTCCAGGTTCGGGTTTTTCAGTTCTTGTCCCGTTGGACCGATACAACTTTAAGTGCATATGTATAACTCGTTGAAGCCTTACCGAAAATTAGTTTATCTATTACGACTGTAGGGGTGAGTATTTGGATCGAATCAGACCGGATCAGTTTTGTAGAAATTGGTGGACTTTTGATCAGACCTGCCGGTCTAGATCCGGTCCAAAGATCAAAATGCTCACCTCTATATTTTGTTAATCCAAAAAAAAAAAAAAAATCAACCCAGGTTGCTATAAAGGAAAAATAATAATAATAATAATTAAAAAAAAATTATCATAGGTGAATAGCCTTAAATATAAGTTTCGAACATTATGACGCGGTTTCCGGCAATACCCCACCTCTCCCACACCCTGACTATACAAACAACAGGACATATACACCACCGCCTTCTCCTACAACCCCACCTCACATGCAATGGCCGATCAGAACAGGCCCGTCACCGGCTACCCCGCTCCGCCTGCTTCCAACGGCTATCCTACCAACACTGCCACTGCATACCCTTACGTTGCACCGCCACCACAGAATCAGGGCGCATACTTCAACGTTTCTGCCAACCCTTACTACTCCGATCCCTACGCCAACCAACAACGTGCCACCTTCATCCGCCGTATCTTCGCTGTCTTTATTGCTTGCATTATCATCATCGGGACCATAGTGTTCATCATGTGGCTCATCCTCCGCCCCCAAGTCCCTCAGTTCCGTGTAGATACCCTAACCCTATCTAACTTCAACATGTCATCAAACTCCCTGATTTCCGGTACTTGGGACGCTCGTTTCACTGTACGTAATCCTAACTCAAAGATCGTTCTCTACTACGATCGCATCGAAGCTGCCGTCTTCTACAAATCCGAATCGATTTCAGAGACAACAGTGCCGCCTTTCGCACAGGGAAAGAAAAATGAGACGACTGTTCGGGCAACATTCGTTTCCTCGTCCGCCTATGTCGATGATCGGAATGGTATCAGTAGCGAGAGATCTCGTGGCACGGTAGACTTCAATTTGAGGATGATGGCTAGGGTTCGGTTTAAGGCTGGTGCTTGGTGGGCTAGACGGCGGATTCTGAAGATTTTTTGCCCTAATTTGTCAATTGGGGTTTCTACAAATAGCTCCGGTGGATCTTTGTCTGGTGGCTCCAAGAACTGCAGGGTTGGTCTGTGATTACAAGGTAATTTTACCATGCTTTTCTGAAACCTAATACAGTTGTAGTCGAGATCTTCTGACCTTTTCGTAGTATGATATGTACAGACTGCTGTTTTTTTGTACCTTTCTTTTGAATATATGTATTCAAATTCGTTTTTCATCCTTGTTGTGTTTCGATTTGTTCAATTGCTCAAGTGTTGTGTTCATTCATCTTCCAATGTTGAGTTGGTATTGAGATTTAGTAATAATCTCAATACACATTCATGAAAGTAATAATCCTATAAAGCCCAAATTTTGATTTATTTTCATTCCTCTAGATGCAAAATTTCATAATAATTTTTGGTGCTCTATGTTGATATAGATCTGTCCTGATGTTCTCAAAAAGAAATATGAGCACACCTTCATTTGCTTGTTTATGATAGCAATAGCATCCTACTAAACTTGTATTTCTTTATTTCTTTCTGTTACCACTTTGTTCTTTAATACATATGAGAAAGCAAGAGCGGCTGGCTGGCTGGCTGGCTGTCCCACTTGCAATTATTGTTCCTTTGACATTCGCAGTCAATTAGCACTTACCGGGTTACAGTCCAATGCTTGCCAAACACAGTATAAAGCGTTTGTGTAGATGTGTCTTGTTGGGTACATGTGAAACAAAAAGCTCGTTTGATAATTCAATGGAGGATCTCCTCTATTATATTCTTATTATTGGATTGGATATTTGGATATACTTCAATGTTCTTTGTTTTTGTGATGGTTGTATGTGAAATCTTTGGTCAAACGAGTATTCTACTGACAAGTTTCAAAACTTCTGGCCTCTGTTCTTAGTCCTATAAGAGATACATTTCTATTGCAGTTTTTTGTAATTGAGTCCTCAGTCCTAGTCCAATTTATAAAACAATCATCATGTTTTGTTTTGTTTTGTTTTCTGATGGCAAATGGAGCCTTAGTGGGGTGGAACGATAGAGGACTTGATAAAGTTTGTTGAAGTAGAGGAAATTGCCAAATACTACCAACAAAATCGACCAAATAAAGTCAAACGAATTGAAAACTGCATACGGTATATGGCTATATTTAATAGTGTGTTAAAAACAAAATCGAGTTATATGACCTAACACTGGAATCACGATAAATAAAAACTTAAAATTAAAAACGGTTCTATAAGGCTATAAAATTATGACCTCCTCAATCTCAACCATCAAATAAATTTTATCAGTAGTCGATATTTTGTTTATGTGTTAAACTTATTTATATGTTAAAACTCACCTTATAAACTTATTTATGTGTTTAACTCACCCTATAAACAAACAATTATTTATTGAACTTAAAATGATAAATACAAGTCTTAGGACATCCGCTATTTGACACGCGTACTTAGCCACTTTGTTTCTAACCTAAGACTATCACATGGCCTGCTAAGTATGTTTTTGTCTTTATTGTCTTTATTGTGTGTTTTTGTCTTTATTAATATGTTACAAGTTACAACCTACAATTACACAAGTTGATTGCACATGGTTGAAAAAGGACTTTTGTATCAAAATGCAATTACATTGTCCTCATCTATCTAAGTCAGTTTATAGCAGTATCATGTAAGAAGGTGATGATGAAGTTGTTATGGTTGGGTAGATTAGACATTATAATTCCATATGAGGAAGAATAGAAAATACTCAAAATAGGACTCTATAGTGCTTCAATAGGTAAAAGTGTGTTGTTATTTGTTACATGAATGAAGTAACTGAAGTAGAATAGTGGAGTAAACATATATAAATGACTGTTAATCGTCTATAACTAGTGTCATATCCGTTCGGTGGACAGGTTGACAAATATATAAACAATATATTGATTTTACTTTGTTATGTAACATATTTTTCTTCATTTGTTCTCATAGTAGCAAACTAGCAATGTACAAAAATAAGGAGTTTACGCGCACACACCCCACTCTCCATTTTGTGAAATGACATTTAACGGAAGTCTTATACATTTAGATAAATGCAATAAACAAAAATATAATTTATTTGTTCATGTATAATAGCTACACAATTTTTTTTGTTTCATTATTATAACATTTCAATTTTAAATTTTTTTCCTTATTAAGACATTTACATCTGAAGTTTTTATCCCGTAACAACATTGTGCTTTCAATCTTTGTCTAATTAGGAAAATATACTTTCAAATGTCAAAAAATGATATTTGTGGAATTAAAAATAAAGACACCGAGATTCATTGCTCAATCAGTGAGGATTATATTTAATTGCAAACTTGAGTGTTGTTTTGATGTTGGAAAATAGCATGAATCAAACACTTAAGAAATTAAAGATATGAAATGACCGTTGATAAACCAATAGAGCATTTGATTTTTCAAATGAACAAATTTAAGAAGTACATAATTATTTCATCATATATGACATCCGATTAACAAAATCTTCAAGCAATTCTCATATACGGACATGATTTATACATAATCTATATCCATATCTATGTAAACATTTATGTATTAGACCACACGACCCAATCCCAAACATTTATGATGATCTTCCCATAGCAAGTCTTCCATCATCTCAAGAGACAACAACCATCCCAAACATAACTCGGTATTAGAAAGGCAATGATGAGTTTAAAAAGAATTAAAACCAAAAATCAAGAACAATAAAAACACAATAAATCAAAAACACAAAACATATGGAGATATAGTTTAATTAAATATAATTAAACTCATGGAAATACGATTATAAATGAACTATAAGGGACCACCTTGAATGGATTCTCCTGCAAGGTATGGTTATACATCAAATATCTTGAGAGAAAAACTTACTTAACTATTGCATATGTACTCTTAACGGATTTAAATAGGTCTGTAGCTGCAAAAAAAAATATTAAATAAAGATTACCAGCAACCAAATAAGGGAATGGGAAAATTCACCACAATGCACTAATTTAAACCAATTTCCTTCACCTGGTAACTTCAATTTTAAAGCCTTTTTCATATATCGTTGTAAAAATCACCACAATCGTGATTGGGACGGAGTATTCATCCATAGAGCTGAAATGCCACTAATCATTTTCTAATTTTATTCAGTAACTTCACTACCAAATTACTAAAATGCACGATCATATTTTGTAATTTTAGAATGAAAAATAGCCAAATTACCTAAATGACCCTTAAATATCGGGAGCTTTTTCATGTTCCATAATCCCTATTGCATGTTAAATATAGTTGCTGGATCTGCTATATTTAATGTATCTAATCATTTCCTGTTATAAAAGAATGATATCATTTTATTAAATAAAATAATGATTTTGTAAGTTTGAGTTAGAGGCTTGTAAAAAGGTGTTGGGTTTTAATTCAAAAATAGTTTCATCAACTAAAAAAATATAGCAACGGAAGACTTTAATTTTTGAAATAACATAAACATTTTATACCCCACCAAGGATCTTCTTGCAAGTTATAGAAAGATTAAATACCAACCAAAGGAATGATGAAGAAATAACAATCTTTGTAGTTCTTTGGGTCCTCTTGAGAGGCTTGGAAGTAGATGAAGAATGTGGAACCTTTGAGACACCAACAATGACTCAACTTGATGTAGATACTAGTCCAAAACTCTTAAACCCTTAAGTTTTAAGTTCATAACCAATATGAACTTAAAGATGGCAGGAAGATGCAAGTGTTCTTCAAGTTTTCTAACCAAAACTAGAGAAAATGAGGGAGAAGGAAGAACTTTCGGCCACTTGCATCAAGAAGAAGAACGAATCAACTAGCCAAATTCAAGCCCCTTATTTATATGCATAAAGTGAAAATATTAACCATTACGTCTTAACACTTTAAGCACATATGTCCCCATGTCATAAACATGTCTCCCATGCTTCATTACTTTTGAATAAACTAATGAAAAACCCATACCTTTATCTTTATATATAATTTTCGGAATTATATACATAAAAGAAGAGTTAGTTTAAATTTTATAAACTCAAGTTTTATAAAATATAAACTTTGTCTTTTGAGTAAAAGACAAAAGGGTTTCAACTAGTCCAAAAAGTTGTACACAACTTATTAATTCATACCATATGAATTATGTAATGTTACTTGCTAATGAAAATTATTATTTCCATGAAATAAATAATTTCCAATTTAAATATAAGAGTTTTATTGAATATTTATTAAAATCAATTTCTAATAAATAATAAATTATATCAAGTTGTTATTAGTGTGACCTATTAGTATCACATGTTATTTAGCAATATCACTTTAATATGACTCTTGAGCATATTAGACCTTTCAATCTCCCACTTGCACAAGACTCATATTAGACTGATATAGACAGTGGTGAACGTCTAGCAACATTTCACTGCCCCCAAGACCATACGACTTTTTGTGCCATTCTATCAACGCCCAATTCCCAAAAAGCTCAAAGCTACAATTGGTGTATAAGGTAAGTTTATCAGTTATCCTTTTGCTACAGACATCATGTTGAACATGAGATTCGGATCGCGATCAATCTCATTAGTTGTTCAACTTTTGGTAAGGCGCTTAGATATCTAACTCTTAACACATAAGAGGAACAAATCCCATCTTGACTACATAAGCCTCTTGCATAGTTCACACCATACCTGAAAATGGCTTTTATAACTGCCCGGTTAAGGAAAAGAATTTGACCATTATCAAAGCATAATACTCCCTACACTTAAGTCTCACTATGTATCTCAGGTATTAAGGATACAAAGATAGTATCTTTTAATCAAGTATCATTCATGATAGCGATCCATGAGATGATCTTGATGCGGGTCAGTTTAATACTAGTTTTCTGACAAGTACCTATGAAACTTGGTTACAACCACTTGCCTACTTTCATCTAGTGAGAGTCAACCAATCCAATTCATATTAGTCTTACTTCATAATTGCTCCCACAATTATAACCGACTATGAACTTTTAGAATAATAACATTATTCATGGATTAAACATGTTAATATAGAACACAACAAGTATTAATGTGATGACTATATCCCAATATATCATAAAATTATC